TATTTATAATAATGTTAAAAAAAATTATTAATTAATATTATATTAAATATTATTATGCTTATTAGTATAATATAAACAATCTTATTTTTTTAATATTTTTTTGTGATATCATGGAGTTTATATAAAAATTAGCTATATAATAATAATAATTTATTTTAAGTAAATAAATAATACTTATTATTATACATATTAATTTCAAGTAAACTTATTTCTATTTTTATTTTTCTAATGTTAAAGTTTTCAAAAATCCATTACTCACTTTTAGTTTAGCTCCTAAAATATTATAATTTAATGATCAAAAATTTAAAATCTAAAGATAAAAAGAGGCTAATTAATAAATATCTTAAACAAATTTTTTCTAATGAGTATTTAGATAATTTATTCTATTTAATTTTAGAATTTTTTAATTTAAGTTTTTAATTTTAATTTATTTTTTAATTAAAGATTTATAGTAATAATTTTTTTTTAATTCTCATTTAATATCTAAGTGGTTGATAAAAGAGATATATTTAATTGTTGCAGTATTAATAGTTATATTTTCATCATATATTTTCAAAAAATTAAGATTAATAAAAATAATTGAAATAATTGAAAATGTATTACTAATAAAAGTTATTATATAGTTTTTTAGCATTGTTATCAGATTCGTTTTCATTTATCTTAATATTTAAGTTAAAAGGCTACAGCAGCTGATTATATATGTTAGAGTTTCTAACCTTAGGATTTCTCTAAGTTCTATAGGTATCTGTTATACTTAAATCAACTTAGCAATTTATCACGTCTTAGAATTTAAGATATGTTAGTCAAACTCATGATGATGAACTCAATAACAAGTTAGTGTAGTGTATTACAACAATTCTAGGTGAAGGACAACATTAAAGGGGAAAAGTAAATTTGTATAAATTTAAATTGATTTCTTTATTTATAATACTGAAACTCGTAAGTAACTTGCAAATGAATTAATTTACAACTTAAGCAAAAATTTACTCTATTTATACAAAATAAATTTAATACAACTAATTACTTACTATACTATAAATTAACTAAATATAGATATGTGTTCTAATAAAAATATATTTAACATAATAAAAATAATATAAACTATAAAAATAATAAAAAAAATAAATTAAATTATAGATGTTAAGGAAATTATAGATGAAATAGAATAAACAAAATAAATAGGCTATATAGAAAATACAAAAGAAATAGGCAAATAAGATGAATTTTGTAAATCCTTCAAATTAAATAAATTAGCCTAATTTTCTAATGCAATATGTTAATCAAGATTTTCCTAAATATGATTTACATAAAATTAAATCCAATAACTTTGTAAATCATTTTTTTAAGGTAAATTTTTAACGTTAACAATCCTTCTCTCACTTAATTTCAAACGTTGTAGTAAGAAATAATTTTGTCCTCAAAATTAAATTTTTCTAAAAATTTATCAAAAAGAATTTGCAGAATGTATATCATATTCATGCGTGATCTATTAGAGAAGAGTATGCTATATTCATGCTATTCATAATTGATCTTATAAATATAGGTTTTTCTAATGTTATATAGGGCTAAAATTTGTTGATATTTAAAATTATAGGATTTAAAATTCTATATAAATAGCTTAATTTTGAATGATTTTCTAAAATTATGTGATAAATTATTTTTCTTAAATATAATTTTTACGCGTATTAATTTAATTATTCAAAATCTAAATTTTTAAATTTTCAAATTTTTCAAACAAAATATCTTTTAATAATCATTTCAAAAATAATCTTCAAAAAAATGTTGAACATATGAGAACTTTCTGTTTACAACAAAAAAATAAAGTTTATGAACAATTTGTGATTCTGCAAATTCAAGTATAAGAAGAAGAAAAAAAAAGGTTACTTATGGCAGACAGACTGGTATATCTTATAGCTAATCAAAATACTCACAAAGAACTGTTGTGACAAAAATACAGTTAACTTTTGTTATAATAAACTCTATGTCTTAGACCTCAACTTCGCTATAAGGTTATAGTGAAGATTTAATTGGCTAATTCACTATAACAAGAATATTTTTATTATATTTATTCATAAAATTTATTATATCAAGAGTTCGTTATATCAAGAGTTGACTGTAAATACCTTAGAAGTTGAAAACTTTTATCAAAAGGAGGTATTTCTGGAGTAGTGATTATTTTACAAAGATCTGTAAGAAGGTTGAGTATTGATTTTAGTTATGTAGTCTAGGTGATAATTAGGATATTTATTTTTACTTGAGATTTTTTTTGAAATTTTTCTTTGCTAGTGGTTTACTGAATTGAACTGGTAGTTGTAGCTGGATTGTACATTTTGTCAATCATTTTGTAAATAAAACTATATACTTAGTGGCTTGATTACATTAATTTGATTTTCATCCATGATATATTTAATCTCTTTCTACATTAGAAAACTTCATTAAAATCTAGTATTTAAGAAATCTATCATGAGAAAATTATTGGACACAAACCTAAAATTAACTTTTGATCAACTGATTATATCATTAACTTTCTTAATACATAAACTACATAAATATTACAAGTAATTTCTTCTTTAAGAAAACTAACATTTTCATATTTCTTGATTCTTATGTATGCATTTTATTGAATTTTTAAAATTATGCAACTTATGAAAATTTCCTGAATTTTGTACTAAATAAAGAAATGTTGGTTAAAAATATGTTATGCAAATATTGTGTGATCATCTAATTTTGGTAATGTTGATCAACTATGCTAATTTTAAACAGGTTTATGTTCTATAAATTTTTATGCAATAATCATCATCTAATACGATCTAATTGAGTTTTGTTTATTTTTCTGCAAGAAAATAATTCTCACGATTTTGAGAATTTTCATAGCTACTTCTTTTGATTATAAATATTTATCCAAAAATTTCTTTTATTTTTCACAAATTTTTCACTTTTTTTTAAAAATTATTGTAAAATTTTAAATTCCTTAAAATATTTTTAACTTCATCATGGTTTGAGTAAATAAGAAAAAGTCTGTTTCTATTCATCATAAAGCTTTAGTTCGTTAAAGAAATTATCATAGTGAAAGAGTTTCTCAAGGTGAGACAGGTATACTTAAGAATACGATCAAATATGATAATTGAAACTATATGGAACGCATCTCTTATAAGCTTGTTTTAATAGACTAATATATGCAACCCATCTCTCGTTTGAGGAGTATGAGTATATTCAACCTCATTTAATACGACTGCAGCATATTAACATTTTTGCCTTCTTTTTATACTATACTATAGGTTCTCAAAATATGAGTTTTCCTTACTTTGAACTGATTATTATAGTCTCTATTGTCCCGTATTGATATATAGCTATTTGGAATATCATTGAATTCATTAAGCTAACCTTTGCATGAACTGATACTCGCTGGTCAAAGATGCCTAATTTTACATTTTTAATATATGCTTTTTCTCTATTTAGGCTACAGATTCTCGTTAAGAAGTTCAAGAAATTCGTCAAGAAAATTCTACATTAAGAGAATAATTATCTATTTTTTCAAATTAAAATGCTGAACTTTTTGCTAAATGAAAACATTTAAAAAATAAACTAACTAATATTTCTTCCCTTTTGGTTCATTAAAAGAATAGGATTTGTTCACTTGAAGAAATATATAGAAAAGTTACTCATCCTTCAAAAAGTGAATTGTTAAAAAAGTAGAATTCAAGATGTCAACATATTTCTAATTTTTTGTATTAGATTTTACTTTTCTTCATTTTCTGTTTTTTCTCATTTTATGTATCTCAAAATTTGTATTTCTCAGATTATTCAATAAAATTTTGCACATTGTTATATTTTACCATTTAAAAAAAAATTTGTTTAATATTATTTCAAGAGTTGCTAATCACATTGTTGATACTTTTGCTTTCACTCTTGTAATCCTTTTCTAATGTCATGTGATTGTTATTATTTAATAAAATTTTTCTTTACATTCTTGTCATAATTCGTCAAATGTTATCATTTTATGTGATTAAAAATCTTTTCTTTGAATAGAATTTCTAAAAATCTAAAATCATTAATAAACCTATAAAATTCATAGTCTATTTTTTTCTAGAATCCTTTGACAGAATATTTTACTATCTGACTTTTCACATTATTAATAGGCTAAGTGATAAATCTTTTCCAATTCCTTAGCATAATAATTCTACTCCTCAGACTTTAAAATCTTAAGGCATTTTTCCTCCTACCAGTATCTGGCATTCACAAACATTTGCTATTCAAAATCTTTCTACATCTCTCTCATTTTTCTATATGATGAGTGAAAAATCCAAAGCTCTTACTTTTGTTTAGGCTTAGTGAAAACTTTGTCTATAAAAACTAAAATTAAAAACTAAAATAAAAATTTTGTCCATTAATTCATAAATCCAATAATTATATAAATAAAATAAAAATAATATTTCTTCAATTATTTTGCTATCCATTAGTCCAATTTGAATGAAATATATATTATCGTGAACCTTAAGATTTAACAATTCTAATGGTTTAAATTTCATAAAATTCTGATTCATCAAAGTTAAAATAATGATATCTGTATCTTTGGTTTTAAATTTGTATCCATTATTTCTTTTATCTAATTGAAATTTAGCATTTGAGCAGGTGATCTTTAGTGAGTTTTGTACAACTAAAATATTACATAAACTTTTATGAGGTCAGAAATGGTAGGTACTATCTATTGAGTCTTTATGTAATCTTTGTATAACCTTAATTCAACACTTTATTTCCTCTATTTCTTCTCTTAAGCTTCTTTTACTTTCTCAATAGTTTTATTTTCTGGTAAAAATCATCAAATTGTCACCAGATTTATTTTTGTTTATTTTAACATTTAAGTTGAAAGGTTGTGGCAACTGATTCTACACATTGGAGTTTTGTAATAATTATGTTATTGATTAGGCCACTAGTATATTATGGTATTCGATTACATCATGCGTAGCACATTTTCTTCTCTTTAACTAATAAAAAAAGAAATGGCAATAGCTAAAGAAGTAAGACGAGAATTAGTGAAGGTAAAGAAGCAGCTAAAAAAGGTGAAGAGAGTATTGAAAGAGTTCAAGAGAGATGAAGATGAAGGACTGCTGTTGAAGAAATTAAGAAGAAATAGAAAAGGTCTTGACGAAGGTGACCAGTAGGAGAAAGCAAAGCTGAAAGATAAAGAGAAGTATCTGGAGAAGAAGGTTAGCAAGTAGAGTAATGAGGTGTTAAAGAGTAGAAAAGATCTGTAACAGATGTAGGCTCAGCTAGGTAACGACTTTATGATTTAGGCATTGGAGACATATATATAGGATAGAGTGGGAATATACTGCTTTTTGCTGTTACTTTTTAACATATACATCACTATTTCTATTTTATTCAAAACATTTTATTCTATTAAATCTTTTATACACTTCTTATTACTTACATTTTATAATGTTATTTAACGCTTTATTTAATCTTTTTTATAATTTTATTATGAGTTTGGGTATTTGCTATCTTATTATGCATTGATTAACTTTTACTTTTTCCTTTTAAACTGCTTTGATTTGCTTTAGCAAATAAGCGTTCTTATGAAAAAAGTAAGTTACAGAAGAGTAGGCTGTTAGTTATTATTATTTAATTCTATTCTTATTTTCTGCATACAAACTATAGTTGATGCTAATGCATAGGTCCTTAATAGGTTAAAGAAAAGATCTAAGTCATCACTCCTGAATCCTAATGAACTTACTACATTTCTTGAACAATCTCTTACAGATGATATAAAAATCCCTCTTTTTAAGAATGAGTTTGATACCTTCCTCATACCTGATTTAAAGATTCATGTACAGCTGAAGACCTAGAGATTCTATTTCATATCAGCAATACTGAGAGCACTTATTCTTTCATTACTAGTGTGTTTGGCTCTGCAATTATAACCTTTTCGTCTTTGCTTAATAGGACTGAGTATTCATTTGTCACATTTTAGGACATTAATATTCGAAGATTTCTTGAAACTTTTTTTTCAAGTAGTTATTTTATCTGAAATACAAATTAACACGTGAGTACTAATAATATGCACCTAGACTTTAGTTTTATTTTCAACCAAGTGTATCTATTTAGAAGAGAGAAAAAAGTTTCTTATAGCAGGAAAGAGATGTAGACTGAGCTTGTGAATAAAATTGAATGACTTATGATCCAGCTCTATATGTCTTGGGTAAGTCTTTAGTTTCTATTCTATTGGTAATTTGATTGGTTAATAAATGTAGTCTTCTTCTTTTGCAGGTTATTATGCTATTAGACTATCATTAACCTATGTTGCTTTTTTATAGTCGCAACTTAGAAGTCATAAGCCAGATATTATCACTATTGAAATTATTAGCTTGAGTCTGAAAAAGAATATATCTGTAATTTACAAATACTCATAAATTTATACACTATTATTGAGCTGATTAAGGATGTAATAAGGTAGTATGAAACTGCAGAGTTTATCTCTATTAAGAAGTACGTTGAAGAATTTGCTATGATAGCTTTATATTCTAGTCTAACAGTATATATTTTTTGCAAAGAAAATAAAACAATTTGTATAACTGGCATAAGCATCAAAAAGACTTACCATAGTTTAGATGATGAATAGTACATTCAAAACTCCAGAATATCTATAATATGCTTAGAAACGAATATATGCCAAATGTTGATAATCTCATTCTTTCATATATAGATAATGATCATGAATGTATAGCATATCTTGCATCTAAAGGAATAAGTGTTAGACTGAATACTTAGAAAGAATTGCTAAAAGCTATTATCTGCATTCTTGAAATACTAAGTATAAGTATTATAGGATTACTAATAAATATTTTTATAGTCAGTAACTCATTCATGTTTTTTAATATAGGTTATACATAAAACTGAGATGCCTATCTTTCATAGAGATATAAGATGACCAAATATAATACAATTACATAAGTTATGATGGATGCTAATTGACTGGAATGATGCTTCCAGTATGCTTACCTGTGCTGTATCACATCTTGAACATGAAAATCATGCAACTGAAGTATTTAATAATGATCATAAAGGGAAAGTTGACATTTAGAGTATGGGAAAGCTAATAAGAGATGTAATTGTATAGATTCTCAACCTGTCAGCTAATGTTGTGAAAAGAAGCAGATGGATGCAAAAAACAAAACTGAGACCAACCGCTACTAATATTTTGAAAGCAATATAAGATGTTTATAAAATAATGTGTGATCAAAAAATTTAACCATAATAATAGTAAACTCAATAATTAATACATATTCAAAACTCACTTATTACAGTAGTAGTCATAAGTATCTGACCGCCTAGATCGTCTAAAATTATTATATAACTACCCCTTAAATTTTCCAGAAATATAATATAATACAATACATGATCACCTGTAAATTTATA